GTTTTGATTGCCATGTTGGTTGATTCAGAGCTATATTTTCTTCAAATGAAAAAAAAAAATTAAAAGTGCAATAATTTTCGAAAGAAGAAATTGTGATACACAGAAGACAGCCAAATCATTTGTAGAAAAAAATAGTCATAAACTGTTCAGGTTACTTACAAAACCAACATTTTTATTATTATTATTATTATTGTTATTATCGCTTTCTTAAATTCAATTTTAAATAAAATTTAGATATAATTTAAATAAGGAGTACAATGAATTGAAATAAGAAAAAAAAATTTGAATCATTCTTAATGTCACCTCTTGGATTGTCATTAGATAAGCCTTTATATTCATTTATTTTTTGTTATAAACATTAAATTCTGTTTATTAATATTATTTCTGTTCAAATCTAGGTCTCAAAACTTAAAACTTCCTTTCAAGAAATGCTTGACTTACTTTAGCACAATAGACATGTGCAAACACATCTATAAAGCAATACTACATTTAAATTCCCCATTTCGCTGAAATGTGTAAATATACTAGAAATGGAAATTTAATCCAAGGTATTTGGATTTAAATAACACGTCGGTGTCCCACCACATCCCAGGATAGAAAAAATAAATCCTTATAGCTTACAGGAAGTAACCTTAGCAGTCCATATTTTAAATATATGTTGAGATGCGAACTAAAAAAAATGATAGAAAGTAAAAATTTAGGAAGAATCTAATAAAGCTATGAATTGTAAGAAAATAACAAAATTGGATATGTTGGTAACTCGAGAGAAAAAGGAAGAAAAATATGGAACTTTAGCCAAAAAAATGGAAAAGATTGCGATGATTAAATAAAGGGAGAGCAAATATTTTGTGTAGGTTAACAGCAATACTATTTTTTGTTTTAGATGTAGGTGAAATTTTCTTTCGGATTTTTATCGGATTTATACACCCTGATACGGAAAAATAAACTCAAAGTGTACATATACAACTTATTCTTTAATTCATTTTAGTCACTTTTTTGTGAAAAGAAGATCCGACATATTTAATAAGGAAATTCTACAAATTTTTGAATCCTCATACCTAGGTAGTAATCAATTTTTCGAGATTTAATCTGATGCACAAAAGAAAAGACCTAATAATGGATTGCTAAAATGAAACCAATCATTATCTTGAAGCTGCATTTACATTCTCCTGATCTTTTTGCAGTTATGTAATTTCAATATTTTTTTTTCAGGATGTTCATTTGCATTGGTTTACTATTGCATTTCAATCAAAATTGACCGTTTTAGGACGATCTTTCAATACCATTTGGAGGGGTTTCTTCACTCATACAATTCGAAAATATTGAATAGAAAAAAAAATCTATATAGATAATTAGAAACTTACCAAAGCCAAATAAATAATCAGTTGTCAATATCAGATAAACTGATGCTAAACTAACAAGTCCCATGTCGACAAAATCACAATTACACTAAGTAGGAAGTAAAATACCTTGTTGATATCAGTTAAAATACAGTCGACCGATTTTACACTTCCGGCTAAAATAAACCTGAGACCAAGGCCATTTTTTTTTCAAATTTGAATACTCTATTAATAGTTCTTTGCGTGTTCAATGCCGTGAAACTCACCGGGTCGTTCTGTATGAATTCGACTGAACGGAGGAGGTAATGCAATGTGAGATCAAAACCTATGTCTAGTTATCGTATTTTTATATCTTATGCTCCATTAAATGAGGAACTTTTTTATATAAAATGGCTCATCTTCACAAGTGTCAAGTCAATGTGAATTAGGGAAGGTACTTATGGAAATCCAAGACATCATTTTACGACGTATACATTTAATTTAGCAGAAAGAAATTTATATGCATTAACTAAACCAAAATTTGACGATATTTCTACACCGAATTTACAATGTCATTTTTATCAAAAAAATTGTAATACTTAAAAAGTGGAGAGTCAACAAATTGTTTTAATTAAGTCCTTTAAGATGTAAGAGATAACCACACTTAATTTAAGAGTAATTATGGTCCAAAAAAGTCAAATGCGAAACTATTCGCTTTTTTTGTACAACTACTAGACGAAATCCCGCGCAAGTGCAGAAAATGCAATTTTAGCCAGTTAACTAGATAGTATAATATATCTTTAAGTTTCTAGTTACAGTTACATGTACTTACAGGATAATGGCAGGACAAATTACTTTGTTCAAAACCCAGCAGTTAGTTTAGGAGCAAGAGATATACATCCCTTTTTGATATTAAGACTTGAAAAATATCAATTTCATTTATTGAGGTTTTCTCTTTACATGTTAGCAACTTTTTTTTATATTTTTTGTTGTATTTTATACATATTATTCTACGGGTGCTTATTTAGTGAGTTTTTTTTTTTTTTCACTAACATGTTAGTAACTTTTTTTTTATACCAATATCTCAATTAATGGTATCAATTACTGTACCATTATTTCCTTGCACATTTACACCAAAGATTCTCATTAATATACATGCAGTGAAAGTATTGTTGAAATATTTTTACAGGGGTCATGTAGAGAGAGAGAAAACAAAACTTGACGGCATCAAATCGTCATTTTTATCATACTTATTGTATAATTTTCCCTCCACCAATTGAAACTTCTTTTTTAAAAACATAGTAAGATCTTTCCACTTTTCTGTGGAAAGACCTCTTGAAATGCTTATGTTTATTATTATTTTTCTGTTATGATCTTTTGAACCGAAGGACTCATCGAAAAGTTTTATAGGTCATGATACTGGACAGCTAAAGTTATTTCGATAAACGACCTAGGGTGTTTGACCTGCTACCCCTTTTGCAGTTATTGCCCCTTGCATTAGAAACCTTGTTATCTCTACTCCTTCAAAACAAAACCGTAGAGGTTCAAGACCTTCACCATGCATTGTCTTGGACTAGTAACAGAGACTCTTCTATCTATCATTCCAAAAGTATTTGTAGACCCCTTTAATGTTTAATTTAATTACCCCTGAAAGTTTTTGATGTTTACGAATAATGAAATTATTTTAAAATGATATGTCGTAGAGATATGAGATCAACGGTACTAGATTCTTCAACATTGATCTTAAAACTTAGGTCAAGGACAAAGCTCAAGGTCATTCAAATTATGAGAAACTTAGCCCCTTTCACATCTCCTTCTTTAATGTATGTCTTTCAGAATATACTATACCTCTTTGCATGTTTATTATGCTCTTTTAATGTTTCACTCTTGAGCCCTATGTGTGCCCTTTTATAACCTATTGCCCCTTTCACTATTAATCTTGTTATCACTACTCCTCCAAAATTGTAAAACGTAGAGACACAAAATCTTCACCAATGTCTTCAGTTTCTCAAGCCAGGGTATCAATCTATTCAGTGCGAAAGAATATGACGACCCCTTAAGCGAGTTATTGTCATTTAAAATCTTTGATTAGCCCAAAAACTTTTAAACGAATAACCGGAGAAACACAGGTCTGCCTGCATTGAGATCCTTGACCTTTTGCCTTGGAGATGTTGACAAGGTCAAAGGCCAAGGTCATTTTTTTCCTTAAATTTTTCATTTTTTAGTCATTTCATTTTCTTTTCATAAAATTTAGCTGCAGAGATTTATATATTAAAAAAAAAGATTAAATTTGAGAAGGCGGAACGACCTCTAATTGCTCTATAGATAATAAGTCTACTAGTTTTTATTTATATTCATATTACAACTGCTTTGTTAAAAACTTTATTTGTTTATTTTTTTTTCTTTCTTTTAGTGAACATACAATTTGATTAACAATTTGATTAACACTTTGATATAATTTTTCATATGAATACTATGTTTGTAGAAAACTCACACATACTGATACAATACATATTTTGTGAATGTCAAACTGTCTATTAACCCAAATTAAAAAATGCAATAGCCTGATCCTCTGAGTTTCTGTAATTTTAAGCATACTTGCAAGAAATTTAAATCGACGATGAATAGCGGTAAACAATGTGAATATATTATCAAGATGCATGATGTGAGGTTTTGAATAGTTAACCACTTTTCGTATAATTATGACGTCATACATTTTACAGTTGAGTAAATCTTGGCAACAACTTAGAAAACATTGACTTAAATAAAAATAATTTAAACCTCTTTAATATAGTTCACACATGTAATTAAATTACAAAGGATTATAACATATTTTATAACATATTTTGTGATTGTGTAAGCTGATTTTTAAAGCATATATCTAGAAACATGTAGGTTTTTAAATATACATTTTTTGTCTGATCCTCAAATAAATCAACATAAAAGATCTCAGCTACAAGGGATATGATATTTTTTTTTCAGAGAGAGAGAGAGAGAGAGAGAGAGAGAGAGAGAGAGAGAGAGAGAGAGGAAATACCAATGTAATGCAACACTGTCAATGAAATATCAGTATCTGCTTTGCCTGATTTCACTTGATACGTGTAGTTAGACATTGTCCTTAATATCTGATTAGATCTGTAGACATCTTAAAACGTAAGCTTAAATCTTTAGTATCTAACTGATGCTCTCTTCAACGCTATTTCATTTTATTGTCTATATGTTCGAAATGAGATGTTAATTATTAAATTAATAAATAAAGATGTATTAATGATAGATGCAGAAGATCATAGACGATCATAATCTGATGGCAGGGAAAATTCGCAAAGCTCTTGGTATCTGTTCATGTCGTCTTCGTCCATTTTACTAGAGATAATGTCCATGTTCAATGCCTGTGTCTTAGTTTCTTTATCTTCTTTATACTTCTGTTTTCTTTGTCCTTCTTTGGTCCTCCATCTACAAAAGTGTATGAAATTAAAAAAAAGGTATAATTTCTTCTTCAAGATACCATTTTTAAAAAATTCAAACCGTTTTTGAAGCTTTTGCGTAATTTATTCATTTTTTTTCTCTCAGTGGCATTGGAGAGAGAGAGAGAGAGAGAGAGAGAGAGAGAGAGAGAGAGAGAGAGAGAACTGTGATAATTCTTTGAAGTTTGCCCTAAAATATATATTGTACATTATTAACCTATTTATACATATATAGGCAATTAAAACCACGATTATTGTCAGGCAAACACAGAGAGCGGCAAGAACACCATAAAATATTGACAGACAATCAACATCATCCGTTTTCTCTGCAACTGCATGAAGAAATGCATATCATTAATTTCAAATCTGTTGATATTTCAATATTTTTTTAGAGTGCAATTATGCAAGTACACTAAGCAGACTTTGTATAAAATTATTAACCTTGCAAACACTTAGCACCCTGCCATCCACCAACACAACCTTCGTTACAATGCCCAGTCACGTGGTGGCAGTCACGTGATGATTTGCAGAAAAGGCTGCATTCTTTTTTGCAATTTTCTCCATAAAATCCTGCCTTACAAACTGTTATTAAAGGTTAGGAAATCGTTTTATATTATGAATAACTTTGAGAAATTGAATATTTTGATTATATCTAAAATAAATAAATAAATTAAAATTGCACAATGAAATCTAAGTTGTTAAAATGCAAGAAACACTTTTTATACAATTTCGAATTCTTGAAATCACACTTATGGTATTTTTATCTGCATAAATTTAGAAGAAGGTTTTACCTTCATTGCATAATTTTCCTTGATATCCTTCGGCACATCTTCCTGAACAAGATCCATTTACGTGATGGCAAACGAGGTCCTGGCAGAATCCACATGAATGATGACAGTTTTCACAGTACTTATTTTCTTTACAAACTAAAGAAAATTGATATTTTACTTGTTATTTTCTTTAGATTCGAGAATGAAAATTACGCCTTACAAATATTATCGTCATCCAGAAATAGATGAAAAAACATAGTTGGATAGAAAATACACCCCATCGGGAAATATGGAACAGAAAAGTAATTATTTTTATAAATAAACAGAAAAGACAAAAGTATCATTATTTATACATGTTATGGCATTTCTGAAACAGTAACACTGTACCCTGTTTGCATTGAAGTCCCTCCCAACCTGGTTGACATCCGCCCTCACATTCTCCTGTTGCTCTGTTGCATGTATTAGGCACACCACAGTTTTCATTACATTTCTGTTCACAGTTTATACCGAAATATCCAGATGAGCAACCTGATATAAATTTCTATATTTAAATCAATTTCAAGTAAACGTTTCTCTTTTTTTGTATTTAGATTTCTATAAAAAGTAAATTAAGACACAGATTATCAGCCAAAAGAAAAAAATCTTATACTTATAAATTAATAAATTTTGCAAATAAACTCCGAAACGGATGCACCAGAGTTCTTACTTACTCCTCTAAGGATACACTATATACAAGATGATGTCCGTAAACTATATTTAGATTTCACTCGCATAGTAAGTATCATACATTAAATTAAAACTCTACTTTCATTTTCTATAAACAGCCATGAAATAGTAAAAACGTGAGTACGGTGGCGTTTCCGGTTGGCGGATCTAAGTTACTGGCAATTTTTAATGAAACTGACAACAAGCAATTGTTCATTTGTTTCATAAAACGTCATCACTGAATAATTCAATCAAAACTTAATTTAAATGATATAAAAGAAATAAGATGTAATTGCCGATTACAAAGGGAAATGTGCAAATTATTTTCGTAATTCACCGATCTTAATATTGACGGAAGCTTCTAGAACATCCTATAGCATCGAGCCCGATTAAAAAAAAGAGGCGATTTTAGCTGCATGAACATAAAAAAAGCTTTTGTGTGAATGGTCATTGAAATACTGGTAAATCATTGATAACACTTTAAGTTGTGAACATATTTATATATATCGAAAGACTATTACATATACAGTATGTGGTAGGTTTTCCTAATAAATTTATCGGTAAAATTTGTATATATTCCTCACTGAAAGCATCGTGGCAACGAACCCGAAGTACAATTTGTACTTCGTTATAAACTTGCTTACATGAAAATAGAAAATTAATGAGTAAGAAATTGTTCAAATACAATTAAAGCTGTAGAATTTTGTGCTTTATCAATACATTTCAGTTTTTTTTTTTTTTTTTTTTTTGAATGCTCTTTTGTATCAACTCGGCCTACTCATAAGGCTTAAAAGCTAAACAAAGTAAAGTATATATTTTTTTTACATATCAATAAGGTACATACATATTTATAAACGAAGACCCAAGTACCTGTGAATTTTAACCCCCCCCCCCCTCAATTTATCAGTAAAATGTGCATATTCGCTGTGCTTTTATCCATGACGGAAATGAAATAAGAGCATCTGAAGTACAATATCTACATGTATAACATAGTAAAAAAGGTTTTCAAGTTTGTTATTTTTCAAGTTTTTACTAAAGGGGGGGGGGGGGGGCTGGAGACGTACATCTACTTCGTGCGGGATTTTGAACAGTATTTCTTCCTGCTATAAGCCTGTAGGCTGTCAGTAGAATTTACTATATATTTTCTGTCGGTAGTGGTATCCATTCAATCCCCCGCGCTTGCGCGGGATTTCAGCTAGTACTTCAAATAATTACTATAAAAATACATAAGGTTTTGTAACAGTCTTTCTTTTTTCATGATTTCCAGTTGAACCCTCTTTATTTGTCATATTTACAATATTTTTTAGCATATATGCAGCGCGTAAATTATTACCATTTTTACAAAATATTCCTTCATATCCAGCGTCACATCCTTCAGGACATGAATCATTAATGTGATGGCATTGTTTATAACCCAGACAGGCTCCACAACTCTGAGTACAACTTTGTCCGTATCTGCTTCCATCGCATTCTATTAAATGCAGTCAATATACTTGTTCAACGAAAAGCATCGAGAAAGAAAATATTCTATTTCAACAACCCTTCCCCGTTTCCACAATCACCACTAAAAATAAGCACAAACTTTCTCTAAAATATTTGCTTGAAAGAATGTTTCCACTTAAGCATATTGCCGTGGCCCCTATTTCGGACTCCTCTAACATCATCTAATTAACTCAAATTTTAATTATTTTACACCTAACCCATATTTTGTTATCTGTGTGGTACATTACTTGCAAAAAATTACATTGAAAACGGCGCTATAGTTTTATTAAAGGTAATTAAAAGTGCCCACTAGTAGGTGTTAATTCCGAAATTGTCCGAGCTAGGTTTTAATTGTGTATCATTAATATTCGAAGTAGGTGGAGCATTTCATCGATCGATTGAAAACATGTAATAGCCAGTTATATAATGGCTTCTGGGAACTACTCAGCATAATGAAATTAAAAAAAAAAATATACACAAAAGTAAACACAAAGAGCATGTTTAAACTTCTCAAGGATTACGACAGTTTTTTTTTTTTTTTTTTTTTTTTGGAAAGAGGGGTGCGGGGAGGATCTTGAAGACTTAATGAAGATGTACATGTACTCAATCCCTAAATCCAGATTTTTCCCCAATTTTTGGTAAGTTCTGGCAGATCCTTGAAGTCATATAGTAAATAAACAAAATCTAGCAGCCAACCTTAAAAAAAAACAACAGGTGAATGACAAGTTACTTTTGTTTCGAAAATATTTTAAATTTATTCTTAATAGGGTAAGTTGCGATTACGTGGAAAATCAACACTAAATAAACCAGGCCTACTTGTACATGTAAACAGACACTTCACATTATTTTATTGAAAAAAAAAATAATATAAAAGAAAAACAAATTCTTCTGTATTTTCAAAATTTTAAAAGATTAGTGCCGTATTGAATTTTTAAAACAATATAAAACTCTCACTCTCTCTCTATCTCTCTCTGTACTAAAGTACAATAAATACTGTTTTACGTAATAACAAAACAAAACTTTTTTTTTTTTTTTTGCAGTGATATTTAATCACTAAAACAATTTTATAATGCTATGTGTGCTTGCTTGTTTTTTTTTTTTTTTTTTTTTTGTTTTTTTTTTTTTTTTTTTTTGGTTTTTTTTGTTTTTTGTTTTTTTGTCCCAGTAAGCTTTCCAGTGTTAAACAATCTATATGTACTTTTACCCCGTGTACCTATATTTTTACAATCAAAAACATCTTGAGGAATGATGCCATTGCTAAGATGTAGACTATATGCCTTGGAAACTCATTGAGCCCCCAAGCGAACCCATAAATCCAAGGACTATAAAACTAAAATATCATGATTACATTTTGCCCGATTTAAAATTCCACTACCCTCATCTGTCAAATATTTCTTATGAATGGTAGCATCATTATTTTTTCTGTCTTCAAATATGGACCTAATACCCGAACAATATTAATATCCATCGGATGCCACTATTATCATCGGTTTCATGACCGTAGGAACGGGGGGGGGGCTTTAAAAGGTTCTTTAAAAAACACCTAGGCAGCATTTTTTTTTCTTTTTTTTATTTTAAGAACAAACAAACAAACAACAATAATAACAACAATAACAATTTTTTTTACAATACATTTTGATAGAAACATTGACAAGTTTGTCCATGACCTGTTGGTCTTTTATGATAAGTGTCTTTAAACCATTGAGCTACATAATGATCTCTTTGTAAAGCTGTATGATGGTCAAAGGGAAATAACCATTCATCTGCTTTGATTTTCTTCATATGTCTTTGATGTAAATAATACACACAATATTGTCCACACACATCGGTATTCCAATCTTGATATCGATACGGATTATAAATCCATTGATGACCATGACGATGGATAAAGTCTTGAATTTCTTTTTGTAAGGGAGGAAATCCATAAGAATCAAAATATTCTACCACTGGACTGCTTACATATAAACACACCCAATGTTCTCCAGGTTGATCTTGAGGATCTGTATTGACTACAATGGCTTTTTCTCCAAATTTTAATTGATCTGGTTATAAATCTAAAGGATACACTCCACCAAACGAACTCTTTAATTCTCTAGATAACACTTCTCTCAACTGTCCTGTATCCATTAATAATCAATGCTCACTTCTCTCTGTTTGTTGATTTCTAAGAGGTTATCAAATTCTGCATACACCACACAATTTAAAGTGGTAGCCGTATTGTTAGTAAATTGGACTTCTACTCTTAAATTTCCTGTTTCTATGAGATGGAATTTATCCGATTGGGCTTCTTGATCTTTAGTGAAATCCCAGCCCCATAAAGTGTATCCGTTTTTATACTCTTCTAAGGTGATGTCCGGAGCCCAATCTTCTCCTAATTTTCCCAAAGCTTGATACATACTCAGATAAGATCTCAGATATAAATCTTCATTAAAATTAGGTTCGAAACAACGAGTCATCATGGTCTCTCCATTGATGCTAACACCTAATTTTTTAATCCCAAAATTTTGAAAATTAAAGGGATTTTTAGTTTTATCTCCATTAAAAGCTGCATTCTCCACAAACCCTAAAATGAGCCTTTTTGGCATCTGGCCTTGAAACAGATGATCCGTAATCTTAGATTGAGTTCCTGTAGGTATGGTAAAACTTTTGACTTCGACTCTTCTTAATGGATATTTGGCTCTGTGAGTATTCAAAGTTTGATTGATGTGATTCATTAAAGTAGGGGAAGGTTTCACTTTTCTCACCCACAAGACCATACTTAATATTTTGACTTTTCCCGTATTGGCTTGAGCTGTCATCATGTAGAAATCAGGTCGAGCTCGATTAAATCTCAAACGGACGTCAACTCCATTCGGTAGAAATCGATCTTGTTGAAACAAATCCAGATGTAAACGATCCAACAAAGTAATTTTCTTACTAGCATCTATAGCTTCATGACGTTTTCTGTATCCTTCGTTTTTAGAATTGGCTGGGTATGCTGGGATGATGGGTTTGTTAATGGTACAAGTATCAGCAGCGACAGCAAAGGCCTGATTAGCAGCCACTCCCAGAGCTGCTAGCCCCCTTTCGTCCATATGTCCTGCCGTATCTTTTTCCCATAGACTACAGGCTTTCATTTGTGTGGCTAAAGTTCTGGGTTTATAAGACAGTAATTTCTCCAGATAAGCTTTGTAAGGATAAGTATCGGTCCCTGGAGTGATTATTTTTCCATTGAGACTGACATCAATTTCCGTAAACAAGGAATGTAAGATATTATTCACTGGGGCTGTTTTAGCAGGATCTCCAGCCAGATCACTTCCATCATTTTGGACAAATTGA